GAGGCTGTCTCTCAATTAGGAGGAGGAGTTCACTCCAGATTTCACCTCCCAGGGCTGAGCTTGATGGCTCCATTTCTCCCCCAGTGGCCTGTGCCTGGTTCCCTCACCGGGCAGCAGCAGGGAATCTTTTCAGATGTACAGATCATGAGGTTGAGGTCACCAGGTGCACTTCCCAGGAGAAACCCCACAGCAGYGTGGCCTCCTAGTGCCATCATAGTGGTGGGGAGCCCCAGGGGACCAGCTGAGCCTCCCTGGATTGAATCAGACCTGGGTCCAGCGCCCACCAGAAGGAGGCAGGTGCCCAGCRCCAGGCTCACAGCTCCCACCAGCAGCCCAGGCACAGCAGCGCCCCTGACCAGGGAGGGGAAGCACCTGTCCCTGCRGGCTGTGTGGCCACTGCCCAGGCTCCAGSCAAGGGCATTTGGCCAGTGGCCTCTGGCCTCGCTGAGGACGGAAGTGTCAGGCYTCCCGGAGGCTCTGCCCTGGGACCTCCTCATGGGCTTGACTAGGATGGGAKTCCAGGATGGGAGTCCAGGGTGCGCTCGGGTGTCACCTGAGGAGACCCCGGCTGAGAAGAGCAAGAAGGTGGAACCGGAGCCCACCCACTCTGCAGACACTGACTGACCAGCACCCCCCAAAGGCCTTTGGTGGCACCTGGGACACTGTGCCACTGGACATTAAACATAAAAGAATCCATCACTTGTGACAAAGCACCTGGGATGTACGGGGATGGTTCTCACGGAGATTGGAGTTTGGTTGTTACTGTTTAGCAGAGACTGTCACAGCTGCGATGTTCTAACTGTGTGGTCTCCATAGCAACCAGGAGGCAACGGCTGCAGAGGACACACAGAGGAAAATRGACGACCTCAGAGCCAGTTCACGAAATCACAAAACACCAAGGAGGGCAGCAGGAGGGACAGAGGGAGAGATGGACAAGACTGTCAGAGAGCACTGGACAGAATGGCCATAGCTCACCCTTTCTGCCTGCAATCGTGGGTGTCACAGCCACCCTCCCCATCTAAGGCAGAGGGGCTCCATGSAAGACGGAACAGACCTACTGCACACTGTCCTCTCCCATCTCCTCCCAGGAGTCCTGTGAGCTCTGCAGGGTCCAGGACAGCTCTGCAGGTGGCCCTGCAGCTCTGAGCCCTTGCCCAGGCTCATGGAGGCTGTTGCCTGCTTGTGGGGGGTCTTGGGCTCCAAGGCCACCCCTGGCTACCGTGGGTGCCCCAGTCTAGAGCTTCTGCCCCTTCCCAACTCCTTGGCCATCCCTGCCCCCCACACCCTTCCAGGCTGGGTTCCAGTCTCAGGGGACATCTGTYCCATGCCCTGCCCAGCGCCCCTGCCCTGGTATTCTGGAAGAACACACCTGCCTCCCTCTGGCTCACAGGGCTCAGAGGTCTGACCCCACCTGCRGTCAGGGCGAGGTAGGCGGGTGCAGGAGACCCTTGGCCACACTCTCTGGCTGAGGTCTGGACACATGGCCCCATGGGAGGGATCACACTGTCCTGGGATGTCTGCGGGAACTCGTGTCACAGGACGCTCTGCGTCCAGCAGGAGGGACAGCCCCTAGGATGCAACCCAGCTGCAGTGGCCAGCCCACCTCCCGTGGATGGATGTGTGGATACTGTTGCCACTCACACCCAGGCCAGCTGCCCCTGGGGCTCAGTGACCCAYACAGGACACCCTCTCTCTGAGGAGGATGCTGAGGGGCTTCTGCCCTGTCCGTTGTACCCTGAATGCTGCCTGCGGCATTGAGGATGGTGACTGAGCAGAGCCTGGAGGGAAGTACCCGGGGAGCAGGGAGGGTGGTAGCCCCGTGGGCCTTCGAGCTGGCCAAAGAACAGAGACTTAGTGTCCGTGCCCTTCCCAGCTGCCCCAGAGGCGCCCCCTTTAGCCCTCTTCTGTGCACTTCAGCCTGCTGATGATGTGGCCCAAGGTCCCTAGGCCCTTCTGAGGTCCCCAGGCCCCACCCTGGGCCCTTCCTTCCACTCCCCAGACCCATGCAGCAGCCACCATGCTGGGAGCAAAGCCACAGGGACAGGCCCCATGTGCCTCCCTCCCCTCTCCCTCGGCGGCGTGCTCTGAATCACAGAGGGACAGCAGCATCAATCCTGGTGACAGACGGCAGCAAGCACCAGAGAAATGGGGGCCTGCCACGCTTGACTCTGGGGGCCTCCTGAGCGAGGAGCCCTTGCGGCAGCTTTATCAGGATCCAGCCGCTTCCTGAGTCATTACTCCACAGCCCTGGGTCCTGGGGACAAGGCTTCATCNCATCTAACAACACAATACAAAACACCAAGTCTGGATTAAAAGTCTGTAAAAATATAAATACTTTTTAAAGTAAAATATATGCCTCCTAGAAATGACAGGTTGAACTGGCCGGTATTGAAGACACACGCAGATACAGACTTAAGGACGTCAGTCATCCAGCAGCCAGGCAGCTCACATTCACCAGCTCACGTTGCACAGCCTCTACGAGGTGGCTGCCCACATCCTCACAACTGCTTAGGTGCTGTCCATGTCTGATGGATGAGAGTTGTGCCAGGAAGAGCCCGAGCCACACCGTGGTGAGGTCTGACCAGGAGCGGCCGCCTATGGTGGAGGCCTCGGCTCTGGTGTCCCTGCGTCTGTGAACAGGGCCTTCCCTGCTCTGCCATGTCTTCCTCACTGTSACTCCCGCCCAGAGAGGCTGGTCTAGCATACACATTCTCCATGAGGCCCGTCAGGTCTTCTTGCAATAAGGGAGACCACATAGTAGTGCAGCATGGCCCTTGAGCTGTTTTCAAGAGTGAATCATTGACAAGAAAGCACAGAAATGCAAAATGTGAAATAATAAAGGCACAAAAGAGGTTGCAAAGCAAGACAACCACGTGGAGCATGGCTCAACAGGGAGGCAGGACCAGCCTCAGCCCTGAAGAACTCAGGACTGGCCCTCCAGAACTCCTGGAACAGAAGAACCAGGACAAGAGTCTCTCAACGTGGCAGCGTGGACCCGATAATCACAAGGGAAAGGTTGACATGGGTGACTGAGTRGCCAGCATAAGCTGCGGTAGTTATTTGACTTGTTACTAGCTCAAAAGCCACATTTCCTATGTGATGTGATGTAGCTTCTTGAGAGAAGACAGAAAAATTTAACTAGATTCTACTTCCTACTTCTTTGTAATTCTGGGGCCATTCAGCACGTTGCAGTACTCTTGGCTGAGTGGCAGTTACAGGTCCCAGGTGAGGTGTGACTTGTTGAAGRAGCCTAGAAGACCCTCCACTGTTCCCAAGTGGCCGCCCCCACCACCAGGCTCTCCTTACTTATGGCCCAACTGTCGGCAGACCACAGCCGCATCCTCGTCAGTCCAGCCATCGTCACAGACTGTCCCCCACTGGCCATGGACGTAGACCTCCACTCGTCCTTCCTTCTCATTTTCTCCATCCACCAGTCTGACAGGAAAACCTAAGTCACAATTCAAAGGTATCAGAAAAGGTATCACAATTCAAAGGTATCAGAACAAGCCAACTTGAGTAGAAGCACAAAAGGCTACAAAATACAACTGTTTCAATCAGCCTGGAATCAGGGGCAATTTTTTTTTTTTTTTGAGAGAAAAAGATTGAGCAATAAAAGCCAGCATGTGTGCCCTTTGGTCACCTTTTCAAGCTCTGCTAAACTGTGTCCCCAGCACTGGGAACAGGCTGACACTGAGGACATGCACTAGCTATTTGTTGAATAATCAAATTAATAGACAAATAAGTGGATGGATAGCACAATAAAATCATGAATTATTTTACTACAATTTTGGAATAGTAAATAACATTAATGCAGAGTTGTTTTTATTTTGTGTCTTTTTAAAAATCTTTTAAAGATTTTATTTTGTGTCTTTTTACAAACATGGGTAACCTGAACAGGTCTAAAGCCAGAGGAGGGAAAGACAAGTGGCTGACAGGTAATTTCTACCTAATGCCCTTTGCTTACTATTGATTCCAAGGGAAGGACCTAAGTCAGAAAAGTTACTGAGATTCCAAAGTTGAGAAATTTATCTCTAGCAAATTGAGGCTTAAATCAGGCAAATGAAATGGTCTGTTAAGCATCCTCTTTCTATCCACACTAGTAAGTGTGGTGTAACTTAACACCCTAAGATTTGCACACCTTCACACAGAATAGCAGTCATTAGGGGCCTGAATCCAATACAACTGCTGTCCTTACAGAAAGAAGTCTGGACACAAAGTCATACACAGAAGGAGGGCAGCAGGAGGAGACAGAAAGACTGCCACCAAGAAGCCCAGGAGAAGAGCCTAGCACCTGCTCCCTTTGTGCTCGTTCTCCAAGGACCAGCCTGCCCAGACCTTGACCTTGAACTCCTGGCCTCCAGCACCGAGGCAGTAAATACCCCTGCTTTAGCCACACAATGTGTGGTACTTTGTCACAGCAACGGAAGCAAACTAACACACACACACACACACACACACACACACACACACACATTTGATTACCTAGGAAGACCATCCTAGTTTAGAATCTAATGGTAAGGATTCCACAATGAAGCAAGCAAAATTATCAGGAGAACTAAAGAGGACAGAGCAGACAGCCAGTAAACAAGATACCGTCTAATGCATTTAAGTGACCCATGGAACTACTGAGTCTACCTATGTGAGCTGAAAGAACACGCTGTCCGCAAGATGGACAGTGCTCCTCAGATCTATTTCCACTTCTCCATCCTCTGGCCTAGAGCTGCTGGCTCCCTGGTTCCCATCCTCGATGGATTCCACTCCCAGATAGGACAGGCCCAGCATGGGACTGCAGAGCAGAATCACAGCAGCAGTGCTGGCCAAGTGCCCATCTGTGCACTACTCACTAGTAGCTGAACAGACTCGGAGTTCAGCGAGTCCTGAGATGCTGGGTGCAGTCGCCGCACCTGATGCACTGCCTCAGGAGGCTGAGGCACAGATCACCAGCTCCAGCCCAGCCTGTCTCAAGATAAAACACAAAGGCTGAGGGTGCAGCAGTGGGTCACAAAAAAACAGAACACTGAAAAAATTACAGCTTATTAAGGTGTTGGATACTTTGAGGTTCTTTGCAAGAGAATTAAGGTACAAAAGTGATCCTGAAAGACCAAATTCAAACTGATAAAATTTTTAATGTTTTCAATATTCATAGTTTAGGATCCTTCGTTCAAAATTAAGACAACATGCACACATGGAACTAGATCTGCATGTTCCATCCCAGCACTTTCAGGGAATGTTTTTATAGATGCTAAACATAAAAATAATAAAGTATTTTAAAAGTCCAAATGGCATATTTTGTAAAAATAATGCATATGACATTTCTGAACCAAATTTTAGTCATTTCACAACATCACTGGACTTTCAAATCTTGAAGGGAAATTGGAATGCAAAAGTAATTCTACAAATATACTCAAAGTTCTTTTTGTTAGAACAGTTATAATAATATGTAACATGCTTTATTTCTAAAATCTTAAGTATAAACCATTTGGGAAGATTGACAATCCCAAAGGTACACAATATCTTAATTATATATTTCAAACTGATTTCCAAGTAGTTTACTTTAATTCTTCCTATAACATTGATACATTGTTTATAGAAAATAATAATGTGTCCTAAAAAAAAGTAAAATCTATCACAGATACAAGTTAAAAGTCTAAGTTTTATACTGTAAGACTTCAGAGACCACTTCATTGTTAAGGAAATTTCACCAGGACTTAATTCTCTGAACTCCACAGTTAACCTCATATGAAGATGAACAACACATCCTACTGAAGTTTCCCCAACTGGCCTAGGAATGATGCTTTCGGGCATCCTGTCCACCACAGAGAGTGTCCATAAAGCGGTAASTAACTCAGGAAGAGTTTTGTGCACACTGAATGAACATCATGGTTCAGTGCTCGTTAGCTACCATGGTGCCCAAGAGGCGAAACATCTCCCTGCTTCTAAACGCTGTTCATATCATCATCCCCAAATCTCCTCTGTAAGCTTCTCCTTCAACACAATATGTTTTAGTAAGCGGGAAGGTTAGGCTCCATCTTTCTATCCCCAAAGACATTTGGCTCACTGAATGTCTCATTGTCTGGGGAGCCAGACAATGTTCCTCAAACAGATGGCTTTAGTTAATAGACCAACCACTGAGATTAGGATCGAGGAGATTCACAAGAACCATCATACAGTTGATCCACAATTACCACCCTCAGCTTTAAAAACATTTAGACACGTCTAGAATTCTAGAATGAAAATGATTTCCCGGAGACCTGAAGACATTAGTTGTTCTAACTAAACAATGGGCAACACGGGCCTTCCAAGAACTAGGATCTTCTAGATGTCTCCAGCGCTGATGGACAAGACTGAATGGATCACTCCATGACCCAAATCTGCTACCTGAGGCCAGAAGATTCCCTACAGGCAAACAGGTTCTGTCTTCACCAACTAAATGCAATCCTGCATCACATCATCCTGAGGCATGGAAAACCCTCCGTAGGAAGAGGTGAGGGAAGAGAGAACTACTGAGAAGAGACTGAAATGGGGCCTGTGAGGGACGGAGGGGTTGAAACCTCCCGCAAGTGCAGCACCAGGGCAGTGAGTCGGCGTCTCACCCTCTGAGCACAATCAGGGTTTGCCAAACACTTGGGCAGGCTTCAGATCTGCCACGTGGCTTCAACACAGTCCATGACACTATCACACAAGGAATTCCACCCCACAGCTTCAAAACAGGAAGAACCAGGGTCGATTCCATCCTGAGGTTGAAGGAAGCCCTACTCTGCCTCCKGTCAGACCTGCAGAGCTCCTCAGGAGTGGCTCACTGCCGATGTTCCCACCAGATCTTTATCCATAGTTACTCCAGACCATTAGAGAAGCTAGTTACCTCTTATCCAAATGCAGGTCTGAACAAATCTGTAACCGGGGAACCAGAAAGGCTCCTGGTGGTTTCTAGAACCACCTGTGCCTCTTAGGAAGATGGAGGTAGGACCTTCAAGGAATCTGCTGGGAAACCCACTGGGGAACTCAAAGGGCAACAGCTGGCTGGTGACCAAGGACTGACCAGGCCTCAGGACCAGAGAGGAAACCTGTCATGACACAGGGGAGAGAGTAATGGTTCTTTTAAAGCAGCTCATCCAACTCAAGGAAATCAGAACAGGGGACTGAGGGACAGTGGGTGCACATGCAGCTTCCTCCACCTTCCAGGAACATGTGATTATTAAATGAGAAACCTACACTTGTGAGTAACAGAAAACAAGTTTATGGGTAGAAATTTCATAACATTAGTGCAGAGACTCAAGAGATTTTGGGGGGAGAATGGACTTTAAAAACCAGCTTCGAAGAGAAACACTTCACATTCTGGAGCAGGGGCTGGGGACGCAGTGGCCCTGTGACCTGCAGACTCAGTGCACTGCCAGCCCTCACCCAGGCGCAGGCCACGCCCCTTGCTGCCCAGGTGGCAGGTGATGCCCACGTCCTCCCTGTGACTGCAGTCGTGCCGGCCCCACGGGCCCCTGGAACACTGGAGGAAGCTGGCTTCCCTTCCCGAGCAGTGGACGTCGTCCAGCCAGATGGGCCCTGCGCTGGCTTCAAAATGGTGGGCAGGGGCTGGTCTGCCCTACCTGTGGTGACAGAACAAACAGTGCACAGCGCTGTGYGCGCCTGTTTCCAGGAATCAGCACAGACACCTGACTGGGCACCTGCCTCCAGGGGACAGGCCTGCCTGGCTCCTCCCTGGAGCCTCACAGCTGTKTGCTTGATGACACATTTCAGTCACTTAAACCATCCTGAACAATCCAATGAGAGACTAAGGGATCGCCCCTTCTTGTGTTCTGCTACAATTCAACCCACCGACCAGACAGAGTGCAGACAGGAGCTGAGCCTTCACTCCTGCCCATGAAGTGGCACAGAGGCAGAGGGAGGACCTGGTCTGCAGGAGCCACCTGGGCTCCCGTGGTCCTACCAGCTCTCCAGGCCTCCTGGCATCTTCTCCAAGACCAGAAGTTGCAAGTGTCATCTGCTCCACCCAGTGCCCCTCCCTGGGCAGACCTGGACTCAACCCTGGAGCACTGAGAGTGTTCTTGGCTTTTCATAAGGCTACATAAATCTAACTTTTAAAAGTTTTGTAAACCACATGTATGCTGAGTTGAGTTGACTCTACCTGTGACATCGTATGTCCCGCCCACATCCAGAGCGGGTGGTGGAAATAGGGTTCCCCTCGGTTGAATGGGAAATAAAACGGCGAAAAAAACACAGAACACAGAAAGTAGTTTCAAAATCAGGGGCAGGATGGGCACCAGATCAGACGATCAGACGGAGGAAGTGAGCCTCCAGACACAAGGGGGCCTGTGCCTGCTTTGTGTGTCTCAGGAAACATCACAGGGACTGTAGAGAATGTTCTTCTCCAAAAAAGGCTAAAGTGGGCTGTTCAGTTCCTAATGGGTTGCRCCCACCTCTGGAGCTACTGTGAGGAACCTGCCAAGCAGAGTGGAGGGAAAGGTACGGCATTGGGCAACCTATTGCTGTGGACAGTTTCCAGTGCCAGGTCTGTCCCTCCCTGGCTTCCCCATGCATTTCACGGACGGCTTCCTGCAGCATGTATTTCAATGGATCACTTGTGTGAAACATCTGGAAACTGTCACTGTTTCCCTGGGCTTTGCTGCAGCTCTCRTTACCCCCTCGCTCTTCTTCTGTTAAGTGCAGCACCTCCAACACCTCTGCCATGTCACCATAACCCTGCACGCTGCAGAGAGCAGCTTTACAACAGTCAGTCTCCACACCCTGCGTGGAAAGGAAAGACTGAATGGGCTCAAGGAACAAAAATGAAGTGTGCAGGAGAAGTCCAGCCTCACTGACGGCTTTCACGAACGAGGAACACATGTGGCGAACGAGGGATTCTCCACTCTCCCGGCCTGTGAAGACGGTGCCCTGTCAAGTCCACAGACGCTAATGACATGTCACGATTCTCACCGACAAATGTTGATGTTTATTGGGATGTTATGTCATATCCTTGACCTTATAATTTTAATAACTGTTCTGCCCAAGAAAATTAAAATTTGAGGCAATGATCTACACTTATATCTTTATCATGGCATTATTTACAGCTAAACTGAAATGAGATTAAACACTGATCTTAACCTAAAAATCTAACCTAAATATTAAGTAAACTAGGGTGTAAACATTTGATGGATATTATGTTATCATTAAAACTTGTGACTGTAGCAACATAAAAGTGAAAAATGCTGATTCAAAAATAAGACATCTATTATAAGACTCAATATAAAGCTATACACCCAGATTATAATATGATAGCATAATAATGGAAAATATGGATAGTTTTTTAATCTTGGTTCTTTTCTAAACTTTCTGTTTTATGTTACTTTTATAAATCTTAACATCTATGTTAAAAAACGGCCTTGCCCAGCTTGAAGAGTTCAGGGAACATCTGCAATCAGCTCTGGCTTAAGGTGAGGTGAAAGAATGTCACCAATTTCTTCAAGCTCTGGAATATCACTCCAAGCACGACAGCAACATGGGGAGCAGAAAGAAGGGCCCCAAGGCCTTGCTAGTGGCCATCACCCTGGAGGCACTGTGCGGTGACCTGGAGATGTCTCCCAGGGCACGACACTCAGCCTGTCAGTGGGCGAGGTCACAGGGCAGTCCCAAGGTCACTTCATGACAAGAGGCTGTTTGTCTCTTGGTAATCATCACACACTCTGCAGAGGGATGATGTAACACACTGTTTCCCCGGGCTTTGCTGGAACTTTAGACCCCAGATGTCACACAAAGGCAGTGCCCCATCAGAATACCATGAGGCATTCAGAGACTTACTGACAGACACAAAGGACTGGCAGTCGCCCTGGCTTCAACCAGGGTTTTCAAGAAGAGGGGCAGACAGGAAAGGCAAAGGGCACACCGGGCAGGAGGTTCTGGGCTGGCTGGGGTGCGGCTCCAGGGCACGGGCAAGGCCTAGAAAGAGGAAGGAGGGACGGAAGCGAGTRGTGGAGGTCAGTGCTCCTGTGGAGTGGGCAGGCAGGCAGACGAGGGAGGACGCTACCCCAAGCTCTCCAAGGTGCCGTTACCATTTTGCGCCCCACCAGTGGACCGTACGTGAATCCCAGCTGCCGGCAGGCCACGCGGGTGTTGGGCTGGGTCCAGCCGTCATCACAGATGGTGCCCCACTGCCCCTGGTAGTGCACCTCCAGGCGGCCCTCATGGCTGCCCCGCCCACCTGCAAGTCTGATGGCCCCGTCTATGGTGAGAAGGGGGCGAGTCGACTCTCAGGAGAAGGCACAGAAATACCCTGGTCAGGCCCCAAGGCTCTGTGGAAGCTCCATTAGCACCTGGGGTCACTGCATGAACCTGTCCTGGGGTCTGCACTCTTATTCTCTAAGCACAAAAACACTCTGATRTAAGTCCAAAGGACCTCTCTTCCCTAGATTGAATCATGTTTGGGAAATTTCCTGTAACTTACAGTCTAAGCAATTCTAGTCCTTTGCATTTTTAAAAATCAAGGAAATATAGTAACTTGGAAATAGTTCAAAATTCTAACTTCGAATGAAAAACACCAGATTATGAAGACAGAGAAGGCTGTGCTGGGTGAATACCAATCTACCATGTCAATGCATTTATTAACCCTTCGGCGTTTGTGAGTCATAAAAGTGGGGTACACACCTTGCCCTTGTTCTTTTAGAGATAATACATATCAGAAATTTGAATTTTATTAACTCAATGAATAATTAACCCCCAGAGGATTCTATAAAAGGCTTCTAAGAAGATACACTGTACAATTAATTTAATTTTTTAGAATGACGTTTAAAAGCCATTTCCATCTGAGATAATCTGACCCCCTCTTAATGAAACATKAATATCTTGGATAAAGGTCATACTGTCCATGAATATGAAAGGTCTCCTGGAAGCATATGCCGGTGTACTATTTCACTGTCTGCACAGTGCTCAGATACACCTAAGCTCATCTGAGTGCCACAGCTGCAGAAGTAGACAGGGCAGCCCAGGACCGGGATGTGCTTTGGCAATCGCTGGCATATATCATAGACCTGATAAGAACAGATGCACAGCTGTCTATAGAGATTTGAATTCCGTATTCCCTAGTTCCTAAGAAGTTATTCTTTTGGTGTTTAAAGAAAGAAATTTTTCCTTCAAGTTCTTTTCATCATAGAAGCAATGGATGTGTGGTGACAGCTCTTGCCTGTTTTTCCTGTCCTGCTGACCACGTGGTGAGCAGGCACACAAATGCTACTCTGCAGTCAGACTCACCTCCTGTGACAATGGCCCTATGTGACAGACATGCTGCACCGAAAATAGTGTAAAAACTGAGCATTGTAAAGCCAACCTGGTGCTTTAGTCAACAATCACATCAATGTTTTATGCCAGTTGTAAACATATTCTAAGACAAGACTGATGAACAGATGAACTGAAGGTGGCTTACAACCTAATGTCTGGAATTCATCATCCCACATCTAGCTTGCTAACTGAGTGCTACATATTACGACAAAGTCCTGCTTACTTGTCTAGCTTTATACAATTGKACAGCTAAAAAATTAAACTAAAAATTAAACTTAAACTAAAAAATTSAGAAATATCTATGGATAAGAAGTTAACACCTCAATATATAATTTGTGCTAGACTTTTCATTTTTATTTGGAAGAGTTATGATGTTCATTTGGAAGYATTGTCTGAATTGAGAAGGGCCACTCAAGTATGTCCAGGGGCTGGAGGCAGGGGCTGRACATGAGATCTTACCTATCAGAGGTGCACAGGACACTCCAGCATCTTCTCTATGGCCACAGTTATGCTCTCCCCAGGAACTCTTGGGACACTGCTCAATGGAAAGCTCATTCCCCGTGCAGCGCACTTCATCCAACATTATGGGGCCAGATCCTTCCCCAAAATACGCCTGAGTCCATGCCTTAGCAACGCCACTGAACAAACAGAAAAACAAGAATTCTGAGTTCAATAGCAAAGGTTGTCCTGACATTTTTTTGTATCTGGTAAACCCATAATCATTATCAATCTCTACCTATGAATTCCCTCCGTGGCACAACTTTTTGCATTTCTTTGTTGTTTTCTTTATTTCTGAGTCTGCTAGCTATTCCCTACATTGATCTTGCTTTTCTTCACCAGCAATGGAGCCTCACATTTTTAAGAGGGCAATGGCTATCCACACTTTGCTCTAGATGCACAATGTAAAATGCACCTTTTCAACCATTTTAAGTGTCCAGGGGARCCACTGCATTCTGTGTAGGGAAACTGTCGCAACCACCCACTTCCAGAGCTTTTTTAGAATTCTGCACAAGGACTGAGTTTCTCCAAGGACATCTAGGTACAGCATTGCCTGTACCACTTCCAGGATGTTCCCTGCTCCACCTCCTCCTGCCCCACTGGACCAGGGGCTGCTGCAGAGCCCAAGGTACCAGGTCAGGAATGACAGACGCAGCAGGAAGGAACCTGGGCCCTTGGCTGAGAACYACCCAGCCAGCCTCCAGGGGGGGCCCCAGCCTACCGCTGTCCCAGGGTGGCTGCTGTCAGCTCTCTGTCACTCASGGACAACCCATTTCTAACAAAATGTCTTTGCACTAATTCATTCGTACTAAATCTACCTCTTCCACAATTCAAAGTGATAGCATATTCTAGAACCCCAGATTCCAGGGAAGGTTGAGATCACTGTCACATGCTGAATGACTTTACAAACTGCATTTCTAGCCTCTTTTAGCTTTTTTAAGTTTTAGATTTTCAGCATTTATATTTGCAACTTTTTAAATTGAAGAAAAATTTTTAAAAATAATTTTAGAAAGAATATTTATGGAGTTAATTCATAGCTACGTGTTGTTTCATCACAGATTATAAAGCGGTGGCCCCATGGCCTTCTGCCCATGACCTCCTCCCTGGGCCTCAGGCTCTTGTGGTGGAGACACACACAATCAGAGGCAAGCATTTCCAAGTGTTTTCATACACTTTAGTGTTTCACAGAAATGTTGTAGTGTGCTGAACAAAGCATTTTGGGCAGAGAAAGCATTGATGTTTCTAGAAAAGTATTTTAAGGCAAATTGATCTTATAGTAGTTAGGTGTCCACGGGCTGCAAAGAAATTCAGACATTCAGAGCTACTCACAGTGGAAGAGGTTCTCTCCTCCCAAAGGAAACATGTCTGTGCCCATGCCAGTCGCTAGCATTTCCACAGTAAATAGAGCTCAGCTTAGGGAGCACTACGAGCAATTTCCAGAATGGACMAGGCAGGTATTGGCTGATGTAGCCAGCACACACACCAGTATGGGTCTGCAGAAGGCAACTGCCTGAGTTGTGTGCCTGAGACCCCAGGCTCCTCTCCAGGGGGAGGAGAGAAGAGGCCCTGCCACCTGTSCAGTCCTGCATGCCCATGCTTTACAAGGCCGTGAGTTAAGACTGGCTTCTACACTTTATAATGGTTGGGGAAACAATAAAAGAGARTAGTATTTGTTATAAAAATTAAATAAAATATAAATTTCATTGTTGAAAAGCAAAATTTTACTGGAACAAAGCCAAACTTGCTCCTAAATTGTGGTCTAAGGCTGCTTTTGTGAGACATCACACCACTGATGAGATGTGAAGTCTGAAAAATTTATTGTGTGACCCTTTAAGAAAACTTGGCAGACCACTGTGTCTAAGGGAAGGCAAAGGTGAAACCTGAATGAGAGGGCAGCAGGCTGGAGAAGGAGGGGAGGTCCAGATGGAGGCCCAGGATGGAGGCCCAGGATGGAGGCCCAGGATGGATCTCTGCCTTGAGACAAGTACCAGGAAAGAAGGTCTATAAAGGGACACCACAGTGGGCACAATTCATTGGAACCAACGTGGGAATCATGAAATCAGATCCCACTCACAACAGAAATAAAGACAAAATGCAGACGGCTTAAAGACAAAAGAGGGGTGGAGAGAAGGAAGGGGGAAGGAAAGAAAGAACTCTGACATGAGAAGACAGGAAATTAGATCAATAGGCACAGAGTTCTGATAGCCTTGATGAGAGAGAGGGAGAGGGAGAGAGAGAGAGAGAGATGGGTTTCCTGAGCAAGATAAGAAGCCCATAGTCAGAACAGAGACCAAAGAAGTAAATTCATCAACATGCAGATTGAAACCCACCAAAGAGCAAAACACACCATGTGTGGGTCTGGAGAAGGCAACTGCCTGAAGAAAACCAGCCAAAAGTCCAGAAGAAATATTCATAGTATGTAACAGCAACAAAAAATCTCCTGGTAATGATCAATGACAACTTGTTACAATTTAGTGAATGACGACCAACATGCGTGGAGGTGCGCTGGGAAAGGACAGCAGGACAGCCTGTGGCGCCTGCCCAGGGAAAAGAAGCTAGAGCGTCTGATGCCAGACCAAACGGCAGCAAGGCGCTCTCACCCCTTATCCCAGCAGAGTCAAAATACCGTTCTTATACAGTGCGCAGCTGCAAGGCAGCAAAATAAGGCTCTCCATGCTCACAGAACCCCAGCAAATCCCAGAGTCATGCAAAGGCTGGGGTCGGGCAGGGTGGGCTGGTTGACTACCGTGTTGAGGCCCACTGTCAAGTAAACCTGAGGGGGAAAACATTAACCAGAAACTCATGATGTCATGCAAACGGGGTTTCCAGCTAATTTTGACTCACAGAAGAAGATCTGCACACCCACTCCTCAGCCAGTCGCTAGCATTTCCTGCTGCTGGCTTCCAGGGAAAACCAAGGAAGACCAGAACTCGGTCCTGAGGGTGGACAGTATGGGAAGCGGCACAGACCTCAAGAGCTGACCCTCAAGGCAGAGCTATGCAGGTTCAGGTTCAGGGTGCCTGTCCCCTGTCCCTGCTGCAGGGACACCATCCCACCCCAGCCTGACAGCCCAGTGCGGCCCACTTCCTTACTTGCTAGCCGTCGAGTCGCAGGATGAACCAGAGTGCAGGGCCGCTCTGAAGCGAGGCCAGTCACGACTTCTTACCGAGCAGCAGAGCCCTCCTCAGACCCTTACCCTGTTCAGTGATCAGACTGCACTAGTGAAGTGTGTCCTTTGTTCCCTACACCCTCCATTGACAAAGGCCAAATACATAGCCCCCTCCCTCCCAGGCAGGGCCAGCTGTCTTGGGGGAGACAGAAGAGGCCAGGCTCCTTCCCCCAACACTGGCTGTGACACTGCAGCCTGAGGGACCTCACAGGAGCTGCGCCTGTCTCCACCTGGCTCCCAGCAGCCAGGCCCCACCTCCCTCCTRCCCCATGCTGCATCCAATTAACACTTGGCAGAAAGAAAAGATCCCAAAGTAAGTGAGTCCTCACCTCAGGACTCTGCTTCCCTGACAAGTCACCTGCAGGGGCATTRGGTGATCTCAGAGGACCTAACTTCCCCACCTCCGGAAAAAGKTCTCTCTCCTGCTCAATAATTTCATCTACCAACTATCTTTATCATACAATATTTTTTAAAATATAAGAAATAGCAAAATAAAAGAGCAAAGAAAAAATACTTTAAAGCAATTGATACCAGAAGTTTTTTTTATTCTGACAACTCAATATGATACATGATAATTTTATGGGRAAAAAAACCCTAAGATTCAAAATGGCACATCAACACACAAAAGTGTGGTATCAGYATTCTACTCTGTGCTTGTAAGGTTCGGGATGACATGAGGGTGTGCTTTTAATAGTAAGCACATGCAAAAGAATTCGCAGGTCTCCACTGAAACTCTCCTGGTAAACTGCCCAGCTCAGCTTACCCAGTGTTCCAGCATCTGGCTGTCTCCATCGACTTCCTCCAAGTTCTGGGTTAATGAGATTTAAGTGTCTAAGTGCCATCATCCCTTCAGCATTTAGGAAGCTTGACAGCCATCAAAACAAGCAGACCCCATCACAACACGAGGTCGGCGAGGGCACCTCACAGAGGTGCAGCCACTCTCCAGGAGCATGGTGTCTGCAGAACTCAGGTGGAGCTCCCTGAGAAGCGACTGTGACTTGAGTCAAGCAGCAGTCAAGCTGCCTGCCATCAACCATCGCCTTTAAAACATGATTCCACCTGAAAGTCCTCAGCCTCCAAATGAGCAGGGCAAGCTACACAGAAGGGGTGCTGGGCACCCAGGTGTGCTCCAGTGCAGGTCCACAGGAGAACTCCAGCACCAAGTGAGAGAGAAGGACGCAGACAGGTCTCCAGGGGCTGGGCACTGGCCCTCACAGGGCGTGTGGAGGACCTGGCTGCCAGCCCTGAATCAGACAGCACTGCCACACAGTGCTCCCAGCGTGACGCTGTGAGGGGCTGAGGAACTGTCCAGAGGGGGGTCCCAAGGGAGGCCTCAGCTGTGTGCCCTCCCGGGGACTGTGGTGCCCTGGTCGCCCTCTTCCTCTCTCCACCACATGCCTCTGCCATGACCAGCTGCCTCGCCTCAGGCCCCAAAGCAAAAGGGCCAGCAGACCCAGCCTTGAAACTTGCATAGATASCTTACTTAGTGTCACAAACACAGCCTCCAAGAAGAATCAGTGTCATTAAAAAAGAAAAGAAAGAAACTTCCAAACCTGTAAGCCCAAATAAACCTTTTTTCTTTAAGTTGATTGTCTACCACCTTTTGTTATAATAACAGAAAGCTAACACCCTGGTTTATCTGGAGATATTTTTCCTTTTAATAATTTTTCCAAACATGAATCTCATTATAGAAAGACAGCAATGAGGTAATGCCTGAGAAAGACCTTAGCACCTTACTTAACCAGGGGTGTACACAACAATAAAGTCTTTCTGGTGATCCCACCTTAATCTGCTTTTGTATAACACCTGTTGCTGTCAACATGGTCTTTGTTAAAGAACTATTTATAAGTGAAAAAAAATCTTTATCTTTCATGAAAGAATCACAAATTCCCAAAATGGCTTTGACATTGCAGACGTTATTAATATTCAGTGTCATTTAAGTTTTACATGCAATTTATTTAATATTTATTTTTTAGTTATAGTTGGACACAATACTTTTTTTAAAAGATAACATCATTGTATTTTTTATACATTTATTTTTTTAATTTTTTTTTATGTGGTGCTGACGATGGAACCCAGTGGCTCACGTGTGCTAGGCAAGTTGCTCTGCCACTGAGCTACAACCGCAGCCCTAGACACAATACCTTTATTTTATTCATTTATTTTTTTATGTGGTGCTGCAGATGGAACCCAGGGCCTTGTACATGCTAGCCGAGCGCTCTCTCTCTGAGCCACAACCCAGACCCTTATATGCAATTTTCTAAGCAACAAAAGGTTGCCCTTTCTCCACAGGAATGTATTAATAGTAATAAAAAAATGCTTTCCACCTGGAATTTAGAATAACCCTTTCCATGACTGGTGATATTAACAGATTACACAATACTCAGTTCTCAACATTTTGGGCAAAGACACAGATTTCTTAGTAACCAACATGAAAATCAACTGGCACATCGCTGAACACATATAACATAGAACATGTAACTGATAATCCAGTAATCACATTTACACATGCACAGTGGAGTGTTTTATAAGATTCAGAGCTGACTACGTGGAGGTTCTGTACGAAAACTGATTGATGATCCCCACCCAATGCCCACTTGACTTTGAATGTTTAATGACATCTTTTCAGTACAAAAGTTCCGAATTCACTGACCAAGACAGCCGATGGGTGCTTCACACCTACTGCAAGTGCTTCCTGAACTAGGGAGCCCGCCCTAGCTGCGGACAGCTCTGTAAGACCCCCCGTTACTCTCTCACTGACCAAGACAGCCGATGGGTGCTTCACACCTACTGCAAGTGCTTCCTGAACTAGGGAACCCGCCCTAGCTGCGGACAGCTCCGTAAGACCCCCCGTTACTCTCTCACTCCCAAGTGGGGCTCAAACTCAGGGTGCTCTGCGGCCAGCACCTGCCACAATCTCATGCTCCTCCATCTAACTAACCGCAGAACCTGTTTGCACTATAAATCTGTCCTGAGGCTGATGCCTAGTCAGAACTCTCCAAATTATAGCCTGGAAAGTTCAATGATTCATTAATTCTCTCCAGAGGAATCGATTGCCCCCCCMCACACACCACCTTTCCAGGAAAGCAATGGCAGTGGACAGCGAAGCTCTGCTGACTGTAAGCCTGCAGGCCGCCCGCGCCTGAGCAGGCAGGTGGGTGCAGCACCAGCTCCACCGGGACCCTKCGAGGGGACACGGAGGACCCAGCGCCTGCCCTCACCCACGCTCAAGTATGAACTCCCAGTGGAGAAACACACATGGCCTGTGGGGGCTTCCAGCCAGGCGTCTGCTTTGAACAGTCCAGCCAGCCTCTGGCCCTCACTTCCAACATTGGGAACGACAAGGACCAGACCCACCAGCCAAAGGGCACCCAGAGGAAGAAGGAGACAAAGTCAGCAGACGAGACTTCAGGGACACTCGCTGGGCCAGCCAGCATAATGGAAAACAAGACTGCTCTTGACCAAGAGACCCAGGGACAACACCAGACGCACCCATGCCTTGGAGCACCTGTGTGAGTGTGAAGCTTACGGGAGTCAGCGCAAAGCATGACCCCGTCAGTCAGGAGAATGACGTCTGCTCTGCAGGACGATGTTCTCATTCCTAACACACTGCAGACTTGGAGATGTCAGAACAACTTTCTTTAAAACACTTCAAAGAGAGGGAAAACTGTAAAAACAATTCCACAGACACCCGAGTAGCCAGGGCTGGAGGGTCAACGCTCACGCTCCAGCATCAAGGAGTACAGCTGACTGAACCGCTGAACAGAAGGACCATGACAGGGCCTCCCGGGCACCGGGAGGCTMCGCCAGGTGCCGAGGGGCACTTCTACAATTTAAAGCACTGTATCAACTCTTAAAATATCCCCAACACAGTTTCAGATGAAGTTTTAAGTTTGTTATGCTCACGTTCAAAATCACAACAGAGGGATGAGGAGGTCTGCGGTCAGAACCACCACAGGTGACAAGGGGAAGGCACCACCCGGGTCTCAGGCTGCATTCCCATTTCCCACATGGGAATTATGTCCTGCCTGCATTAACAACACCCTTTGTTCTCAGCRCATTCCCAACAAATGAGCAAGACCTGCTCAAAGGTCAGACAACATTTGGGGATAAGAGTTCAAAGTGAGTTTGGAGACAGCAGCAGCTGTTTGATCAGATTGCCCCAGTCCCTGCCTGATAGTGCTGGTCCTTAGCTGGGAGCCATCAGGCCTACCCTGGAAATCAGCAAGAACCTCAGCTCCTGCTGCACTCAGCTCATCATGAGCAGAGCACACAGAGCACCCTGCTGGGGCTGCCAGGACAGGGGCTCAGAGCTGGGCTTCCGACCTGCTCCAGGAAACATGCAGTTTCAACAAACAGTGTCTTCCTTTGGGAAATAACAGGTTCAAAAATTTAAGCAAAACCAAACAAGAACAGTAAAAACCCACCTGAAGCCCAGCTGCCTACAGACCACTTCTGCGTCGGCGTTGTCCCACTGGTCGTCACAGATGGTGCCCCACTGGCCAGCATGGTAGAGCTCCACTCGCCCTTCATGCAGGCTGCGGCCGCCAGCCAGGCGGATGGCAGGCGAGGCTGGGCCTGTGGACATGAGATGGACAGGTCAGCCTGCACCTTTGCATCATGGCTCTGTAAGCCTGGAGTGAGTCCATCTCCCTTCTCAATGGTATTTGTTAAGCCATAACATGTCTGTGTGGCATGCATGTATAAACATACCTACCAGGGTACTCTTGACCCAGTGAKATGCTCCATGTTGAGTTACGCTCATTCAATAGCCCTTCACAGTGACAGTTTAGATCCAACTTCCCCACAAACTTAGAGACCAGAAAAGACACTGAAACCTGCAGATTACCGGAAGCATATTTGATCATGATGCTACTATGGTGGAGACATTATTTACAGCAACTTGAGCTTTATCAACATGCTAGTTATTAAAAATGGCATGTTTATAACAATTGTCTTCAGGACAGAATTATTTTTATATCTGTAGAAATCAAGAAAAATCACCTCTCCTGCAGCAAGCTGGTGGACATGATGGCTGCAGGCTCCTCAGCGAACAGCCACCAAAGGGCAGGGTGCAGCTCAGCAGGAGAGGGCCTGGCCTGCCCTGGGGTCCATCCTTGGCACCACAAAAACAAAGAGCACCCAAGGTCTTCCCATTCTCACGGCCCGAGGCCCCTGCCAGTGTGCCCCCTCCCCTGTCTGCTCCTCCTCCTCAGAGGCCCTAAAACCACTGGGCGGTACCCACCCTGTCCTCTTGCTTCTGAACCAAAGGCTCCACCAAGGTTCCCACCTCAGAGCTGAACTCACCTCCCAGACACTGCGGGCAGCCCCCCTCATCATTCAGTTTTCAGCCCCTTCCTCAGGCTGCAGGGACAGCCGCTCCTAAGGCACTGCCTGACCACATTCCTGATCTTTCTGCCTCAGCTAGAAGGAGGACCCAGAGGCAGCCTTTCTTCTCACCCGTCTAGTTCAGTAACTGGTAGATRGAGGCTTGTGATAAGCAGTTACTGACTGACTGGGTCAGCATGCGATGCTCAAAACCAAGAAAGGGCATTCCAAACAAAAATAATGCACAGTTTCCAGCGTTCACTTGTGTTCAACAGCAGACAACCCACACCCACAGCCTGCAAGGTGTGGCTCAGGGCACCAGACTGAGCCTGCACTCAGGGAGCTGATCCGCCCCGAGGCAGATTACCCAAGCAAAGGTAGGAGGTCACCAAGGAAACCCTTCAGCTCACAAGGTTGGGGTAGTTACCTGTGAGAAAGAGCGATGGGTGGGAGAGGGGCTGGAGGCCAGAGATGGGGCAAGAGCACCTGCACTACAGGCTGTGGTCACTCCTCACTCTCCTCACAGGAGGGTCATCGGTGGCTGCCTGGCTGCACCGACATATGAACACCAAACTTGAAGCAAAACTCCATTAGAGTCTATGCATCCACCCACATTCCTTCTTTGTAATAAAGTTAACACACATTAGTTAGCCAGGATGCAAACTGTAAAAGGAGAGGAATAGGGTCAAAATATGTGACCTCATGGTGATTAAAAATGTAAGTTTTATAAGTTATAGCATGTTTACTTTTCTTCTAAAAATATAAAATATACAGAAAGATTATGAAACAAAGTGTATATTTCTTAAGTTAATGGTCCTCTCAACGGTAACTGTACTGGGGGGGGGCAGGGATTGAAATAAAAACAGTTTGGAATCACCTACAACCAASAACCTTCATGACACGCTACCTTTCAGTTATCAATGTGACAGTTTATTTAAGATTTTTTTTTCTATTTACATAAGAAATCGTCAAAGGAGGGGCTGAGGTTGTGCCTCAGTTGTAGAACCCTTGCCTAGCATGTGTGAGGAACCCGCAGCACACATCAAAAAAACAACAAAAAAAAAAGGAAGAGAGAAAGAATGAAAGGTATTGTGTCCATTTATAACTTAAAAAAAATACAGAAATTGTCAAACGATAAAAAATATAGAGATCACACAATAAAATTTGGTTAACATCCTCATCATTATAACAAACTAAAAAAAAAAATCACCGGAAAGAAAATTCTCAAAACTAGTTACTTATNATGAGTCCTGGGGGTGAGCTGGGCTGGGAAGCGACTCGATTGGAGAGGGGCCCTCAGGAAGTATCCCTAAGGGAGGACCCTTTGCTGCCTCCTCTGTCCTTTGAGCTATAACACAAACACCTGGGGACCCCTCGGGACTCCGAGGGTGGTGAGGGGCCACCATGGCCTGGGTGGGGACGGCCACAGGAAGTGTCTGGATCCTGAACGACGTGCCTTAGACCTCCTGCCTGTCGGAAACTCTGCTTCCATCAGCCAGGTCAGTGTCCAGTGCGTCCTCAGGACCCTGGCCTGCACGCCTGGGCCATCACCTGCAGGGGAGGCACAGGTGTCCAMGGGCAAATAGGCTGAGGCACCTGCAGTGGCAGCAGGTGAGTTGGGGACAGTCTGAGGCTATCCAGGGCAGAAGTGGTCAATCAGTGCTGCAGCAAACCCGAGAGACGCCATTTAACTAGCGTCCCATAGAGGGGGCTYGTCCTCCCTGGAAGGAGCCTGCGATCCCTCAGGGGGGTGGCCCCTCAGTAGCTCTGTGCCCAGGAGCAGGGAGGCTGTGCTTCCCGGGCTGCATTTCGCATAGAGCTTGCCTGTGCCAGGTATGGGAGGTGCTAATTTCTGACCAGGGAAATACCTGTGAGCCTCCTCATTGTTGACCTAATGGCCCTGTCCTGGGAACGGGCCCAGACGGGAGCCCACTCCTGGACTGCAGTTTACACCCTGCCTGAGGCAGACAGCACCTCCCCCTTGGCCATGACACCATCAGGGGAAACATCACCTCTGGTCCTCACCTGGAGGGACTACTGCAAAGGCCTCCTGGGAACTCCCGTTCCCTGGACAGCTGACTGCACCCAGCCTCCTGTATMACCAAAGGCACAGGGGGCCAGCCAGGAGGAGGGGTGCTTCTCCAGGACCTTGGCCTGTACGCCTGGGCCATCACCTGCCGGGGAGGCACAGTCGTCCACTGGCCTCCAGGCTGAGGCACCTGTAGTGGCGGCAGGGGTCTTGGGGACCTCTCCCCGCTGGGCAGGGGAGTAGGAGGGACGAGGGACACCTTCTGGGGGCCTTCTAGCTCCATGAGGCCAGCAGGGCATGGGCACTGTGCAATGCCACAGGTTGTTGTGACGCCACCCTGGGTGTCACTGGCTGATCATCACCTCAGGGTCTCACTTGGCATCAGGCACTGGGGAGGGCATCCTCCTGTCATCARCCATCTGTCCACAGCTCTCACTAGCCCTTGAGGACTGTGTGTGGCCCTGGTTTTTGGTGTACTCATGGCCTCTCTGCCCTGTGGACAGTCCAGGGTCAGCTGAGAAAGGGACAGAGTATGCACCTGTGTCCAGTCCTCAGCAGGAGCCACCTGCAGGGGTACCCTGCACTCCCTGATGGAGAYCCCTGCCTCTGCAGGTTCCTGGACAGGTACATGTTCGTTGTCAGCACGTGAACAGGGTGGGGACCTGCAGGTGCTGACCCCCTCCCTCTCTGGACAGGTGGGCACCTCCTGGACTCCTGCACTGTGTTCCAGAACGCAGGCCTTCCACCCTGGGCAGAAAAATCAATGCCCGCCTGTTGGACGCGTGGGAGAGAAAGCCATTGGTGTCAGATTGCGTTAAGACTGTCTCCAAATAGAGCTGAAACCGGGCCGGCCGTCCGCCTGTTGTGCCGACCATTAGAGGAAAGTGCCCTTCCACCAGCACTCACCAGGGCAGTCACCCCAGAGCTGGGAGGCGCAGCAAGGTCTGGACCAACCCTCAGCATCCCAGGGATGTCTGGGCCTCCCAAAGGAGCTGGCCAAGCCCGTCACCCCCAGCTCTGCCTGCAGCCTGGGCAGCTCTCACCTGGTGGTCCTCAGCCACAGGATGGCCCTAGAAACACAGGCGCTGGGTGTCAAGGAGGCTGCCCTTGTGCCGCCCTGTTCTGTAAACAATGACAACAGCAGCGACTGCTCCCCACACTGCAGACGCACCCAGAGCCGCTGTCCGATTGCTCCCCAGGGAGGAGAGGCGGGGGCTGCAGACGGCAACCTATCCACACGCATCTCTCCCAGAGCAGGTGTGGGGTGGCTCAGGGCTATGGGTGACGTCCAGAGGAATGATGATGACACCCACAGTCACTGGGTTCATTGCAAGTGGCCGAGTGAGCTTGGCAGAGCAGGGCTGCCGGTGTGAGCCCCACTGTCCATCCACCTCCTGGAGCCCCAAGGACGTTCCCACCCCCTGTGCTTCAGTGTCCCCTCTGTAACATGGGAGCAGCTGTTCTGTACCAGTTAGGATGATGGTGCTGACTGCCACAATCCCAGGGTTGGCATGGTCCCTGGGGAGTCCAGGGCCCTTGTCTGGTCAGCCGGTGGCTCCCCTGCGTCTGGGTGTCGTGATCTGTGGTTGGCTTCTTGAAATCATCAACAATTTCACCTTTAAATCTGTTTTCCAAGTTAAGTCGATGCAACTTGTGCCCCCCTACCCACTGCCCTCCTCCTGCAGGCTCCCTGTCCCCACCCCTGGACACTGGGCCCTAGGGCTGGCCCTGCCAGCCTCTAATTCCACCCCATGCAGTGACCAGACCATACTGGGGGAGGCCACATCCCACCCTCCATCCCAGCAGGGGTCTGGGGTGTGGCACCAGGAGGCTTATAGTGGCATGAGCCCTAGGGCTTCAGAGGCTCCAAGTGTCCCCACACCATGAGATGGGGCTGGTCCCTGTGTCTCTCCCAAGGACATCTGTCATATGTTCCCATGTAGAAGCAGCTGGTCCTGGACATATCTGGCCATACCTCATTTCATTGGATAATCCCTCCAGGGATMACTGAGTTACATGGGACACCACAGATGCCCAAGGCCAGCCAGGTTTGACTGACTCTGAGTCAGTGTGTTGACCACTGGATGTGGGTTCAGACCTCAGGGCCAGAGACTTCCATGTACTGCTGTCAGCTTCTGCACACCCCTGCACGTTCCTGCTGCCCCTCAAGTGCCATGGGAATTCAGTGGTGCCTGGGTGTCACCCTGGGCTGCAGCCCTGG